GTCCAGTCCCAGGCCACAGTTGTGCTGAGACTATAACTGTATCCAGATCAGAATGCAGCCCCCTTTCCAGCCCCATGCTCCTTAGTGGGAACCTCCACCCAGCTGCCATGTCCCCCTAGCTCCCCAACCAGGCCTGTTTCCGTCCATAGATCACGTGCATGCCAGTGGTTGCTCTGATTCAGCTTGGCTCAGCCCCTCACGTGCCCTGGCTCTTGCCTTGCACACTGTGGCTTAGCATCCCTGGCTCATGCAGACCAGTTGGTGCGAGAGCCTAGCTTGGCATGACATGTGCTCCATCCTGATTTCTAATTTTGCTTGTGTGCTAAGGTTTGCTCAGTCCTTCCTGGTCCACCCCATTCCACTACCAATCCACACATTAGCCAGAAATTGGAGTTACTTTGCCCAGCTTGGCCGACCTCCCGGTCTAGACTATTTGTTCACCAGCAGGAACTATGACCTGCTAGGGGAGTTTCCCAAGTTGCTTAACTTGACCCACTTCTGGACCCAGTTCTCATACATGCCAGTGGGTGTTAGTCCAGTGTCTGGCATAGTCTAGCCTTCCTTTTGGCCTTGTATGAGCAGGTGAGCATTGCAGCCCAGCCCACCCTACACCCTATTCAGGATGCACATTTGGGTGCTGCTGCCTTTACCAGTCCAGACTGTTGTGGGTTCCTTTACCTGTGAGTGATGGCAGGCTCCTTGATCACTCCTAGTTTAGTCCATCACCTCTTCAACTCTTGAGATAACCAGTGGGTCTAGTATGTCCATGGGGTTTGGGCCCCACATCCCCCACAGAATCTACCCCTGGATTTGTTTCTCTCGTGTGCCACTTAATTTCATGTCCCTGACTAATATGACTCATTTCCTGATCCATCAACATGTCAGGTAATAGGATATGATCCTGCTACACAAGCCTTAGCTTTTGCATGAACAGGTGTTTGGTGATTACAAGTACTACACAGTATTTAAAGGAGTTTGGTATGTCAGTCTTATCCATAAAGATTATTTGGTCTCTCTCCTCCAACCTAATAGGTCTAATTACCCTTGCTAACCTTCAAAGGAAAAGTTACTCTGTCATTGGGATTCTTTAGTATTGATTGACTTCCCAGAAGTATAGTGGGCTTGACATGCAGATACCTAAGCAGCATTTCAGAGCCCAAAACCTCAGAACAGGCCACCGGGTGGCCAGCAGGCAGACCCTGGCACCAAATGATAGGTCACCACGTGGACATGGTGGCTGGAATGGGGCTCTGAGCATGGAGATGATCCCAGCTTGGCTGGAATTTTAAATCCCCAGCTCCCAATCTTGCCCCCTCCCCAATCCCATCCACCATGTCATGTTGGTGGCAGGTAGGGCCCTGTGCCCCTCCCCGCCCCAGCCCTCCAAACTTCCCCCTTCTGTGTATTCGCCATAAAGGGAGCAGTCTCTGGAGTTCGGGCAGGTCCAGGGACAGGTCACCACGTGGACGTGGTGGCTGGAATCAGGGCTCCAAGCATGGAGACAATTCCGACCTTGCACTCACCACAAGGATTCTTAACTTTGGCATTATTAATGCTTTAGAGTTGCTAATCTTTCATTGTGCAGTCTCTTCTGTGGATTGTAGAATGTTTGAGATGTGGTTGGCTTTCACTCACTAGATACCAGTAGCACCTGCCCATTTGTGACTGCTTAAAATGTTAAAATGTCTCTGGATATTTTGAAAGGGTCTCCTTGTAGCCTGCTTGCCCGTGGTTAACTTAGGGTGACAGCTTACAAGGTCTTTCTTAGTAGTAAGTCTCTGATTCTTTGAGACTGTGCTGAAGTAATGATCAAGTCTGGATATGGAATCAGAGAAAAAAAAAAATCTGTGTTTGAATCCAGGTTCTACTGCTTATGGAATATAAGACTTCGGGTAAGATGTGTAGTTTGTCTGAGAATGAATTCCTAATCTGTTAAATAGAAATGATAGTGCCTAACTTCTAAGATGAGTGAAAACCAGGGAATCCATATGTATAAAGAATATGGCATGATAACACACTCTGTAATGTGTAACCTCATTATGTTTACTAATATACAAAATAAAGCTGGAAATTTAAACAGGCAGAGAAATACAAACTGTCCAGTGGTTCCCTGTTAACATATGCTATGTAGTTCTGGGTTTTACAATTCTTCTCTTCACCTGTATTTCCATCCCAGTCATTCTTATATTCTAGAAATGAATTATTTATGACTAAAGGCAAGAGACTGGGAAAGTGGAAAGACAAGTAGTGAGAAATCTGAAGAGAGGTTTCCTGGAGGGATCATCTATTGGGGTGCTCAAAGTACAGGCGTGGGCAACTAATTTAGTTTCTTGATGTGACCATGTGGAAACACTATAAAGAACACTGTCAGTCTTCCATCATTCTGAACTCCATTCTGCACTGGCAAGTGCCAAACCCACCTTTTTGTCTTTTGCTTTGGGAGACAGTGACATTGCTTTTATTATTCAGGAATGTGGCTGACAAAATGTTAAATTTGTTTTCTTAGGAAGCAGCTTAGAAAACAGTCAAAATGACTAGCACAATTTTTTGGTTGGCTCTTCAGTCTGAATCCCTTCTGAGCTGAATCTGAACTTAGAAATAAGACCAGGCTCAGCAAGAAACGGTAGAGATCAGTTGGTTGATACTACAGATCTGACATCCCTTTTCATCCACCACATCTGTAATTCAGAGTTTCCCATGTCTACTACATGCTGGCAATTAAGAAGCTCTTGTCCAATAACAAAACACTTACGCTTGCAATTTTTTTTTCTGAAATTGTTCTTTCTGAGTATTGGAGTTTCACTCATGTATGCAACTCTCTTTTCCTTCTGTTTGTCCTCTTCCTAATTTTTGTCACTTTCTTCATAGAACCCAAGGTTAGAGATAGATACAAGAGGCCTTCAAATTCATTAATTAACATGCATCCAAACCATTTGTGATTGTCCTGTCATTGAATGATTTAAGGGACGGAGCTCATTGCTATACAATGCAAGATGCTCAACTGATGAACAGTGGGTTCTAATTGTTAGAAGCACAGCTCCTTGCTCTGTTTTGCAATCAGTGCTCCTTCAACAAATCCCTATTTGAGAATCTGCTGTGTCAAGTTCCAAATATGAAAAGAAATATTGTTAACCCTTTCCAGTATTATTTCATTCAATATAAGATCTTTTCAGTTTGCTGCCACAAGCCAAAACACCCGACATAGCAAGCCATGCATGTTTTATTCCAACAGGGAAAATGGCCATGGGGACAAGTGCAGAGGCAGAAAGAGGGAACTAAGACATCTTCTGCCATAGTGACAGGAATGGGCTCCAGGGGAAGTAGGTTAGAGGGGGAGAGCAAGAAGGAGCATGGCAAGCGTGTGAGAGTGTGCCATTACAGCTGAGGGCAGGTGACAGGGAGCCTTGAAGGATTGCTAGAAAGGGACGTGAGTGGGCAACAAGGGGTTAGTGAATAGAACTGTTGGGGCCACAGGAAATTGGCAGGAACAGTGGTGGGCAAGGACAGGGCCTTCAGCAATGGTGCCATGAGGTTACAGTGGATTGGTGGAAATAAGATTATGAAATTGCACTGGATTGGCAGACAACAAAATTTGAACCTAAAGGGCATATGAATCTTAAGGAAGCTGAGATTTAGAGGAAGCAGATATTTAAAATTTTGTTGATTCCAAAATGGCTGGAGTCTTAGGGCCAGTGTTCACGTAACTTTACAGAAATAGTCTTCTTTCAAGGAGTAGATTTTTATGATGGCGTGCTAAGTGTGTGTACATGATTAATTTAGGAAATAAATTCTTTTTTTAAAGATTCATTGGACCCACGGTAGGCCTTAAGCAGGGAGCTGAATGGGAAGTGGAGCATCTGGGATTAGAACTAGCGCGTATAAGAAATTCCAGTGTTTGCAAAGTGAGGACTTTAACCACTAGGCTACTGTGTCAGGCCATTTGCTGATCTTAAGCAATGAAAACCTCTTGAAAGACAGAAATCACAGATTACTTTTATATAAAAAGCACTTAGATTTAAGAGGTAGTACATTCACATGAGACAATTTATCAGAGCTAGAATTTACTGGAGCTAGGTGAAAAGTTTTGTTATTAATTAGGTAAAAGCCCTTTAACCATTTGAAAGATGTTTCAATAACGTATGTATTTTAAAACTTGCTCTAACAGAGGATCAGATTTCTATCACATGTATCGATGATAACTGTTTAGAAAATGTTGCAAATGGTAGTAAACTATAATCAATTCTATCACAAATTTTTCTTTTACAATCTTCCTCATCAAGAGCACATTTCCATGTTTGTAACCGTTTTGCATCTTAATATATTAACTAACAAAGAACATGGGTTCATCTCATACATGAAACAATTTAACAATTGATTATATTTTAATTCTATACCAGTTTATCCTTGATATAAACATTGTATTTTTTAGAGAATGCTTTCAATGTTATATTTAATTATGCACAAACATTGTGCAAAGTGTAAAAGAGGCTAGGTATTAAGTTTATATTCAGAAGATTTTTTCCCTCTGTCTCTCCTCCTCTCTGTATATCTGAGTTTCCAATAAAAATGAATAAATCTATTCTATAAACAAGAAAATATCTTGCTTAAAATTTAAACTCTGTAAAGACCTTTAGTTGAATATCCATTGTTTTTGGAGGTCTCTGTTACAGCAAGTTACTGAACAAATTTGTAAGTAATAGTTTTTTTTTTTTTTTTCTTTATTGTGTTTAGCCCTACCCCAGTGATGGGCGGGGAAGGAACAAAGATAAGAGATGGGGAAGGAGAGTGCAGTGAGCGACAGACAAAGAAAGAGGTGAGTGAAAGCAGAAGAATGGGAAGGTATAGAGGTGGGTATTGGGAGTGCAGGGCTGCAGGCGTGGCAGATGCAGATGTAAGTGGACAAAGGGGATAAGTACCACAGGACATTGGTGAATAGAGCTGTCAGGTATCATGTTATAAAGGACAGAGGATTGGCAGAGAATTCAATTTAAACCTAAAGGGCATGAAGCTTACAGTTATGACACTCTAAGGTGTTCAAGACCTAGGAGTGGCAGGTATTTAAGGTGGCACATCTGCCTTAGTGGCCACTGTCCCATTCAGTTCTTAAAATAAAGTAATGAATAGATAGAATTTTTTCTAAAGGTATAGAATATCTAATAATACTGCTTATTGAACAGAGTGAATGATTCTTTACAAGCAGCTGGCTTATGTTGCAGGCGCTTGGACAATTGACTTTAATGATGTGGTTTAAAGGAAAGATTTTTAAAATGGGTAAATGCAAGGATGAATATGGGTCCCAGTCATGTGAGGTGTTCAAACTGTAGATAACTTACAGTGCCATGAGCAAGATCTGAGATACATAAAAGTAGGCATAGCCAGAGGCACATAGGGCTGGATACAGGAAACAGACAAAACTTGTTAGCATAGGTTTCTGAAACACAAGAAAGAATACAAAGCATACCAGATAAACTGGCACAGTAAATGGGGCCCTGTTTTCATTTATAGTGAATTCATTTATAGCCTCAAGTGTTTGAGTATACTAAAAATCAGCTATTGTGACAATTCATTAACAGCTACCCAGAATGGGGCAAGGCCACCCAGTGTCATCCAAAGATCCGTCTCATCTACTTTCTTCCATTCCTCAACCTCCCCACTGTAATCAATTGTCTTCATGGGCATGCATCCCTCTCAAGTATGTAAATATCATCAAAAATAAGCTTTACTTATCTTTTACTTTATTTTTGTTGGAAATTCAGATATACAGAGAGGAGGAAAGACAGAGAGGAAGATCTATCATCCACTGATTACTTGCCAACTGGCTGCAATGGCCAGAATTGAACCAATCTGAAGCCAGGATCCAGGAGCTTCTTGTGGGTCTCCCATACAGGTGTTGGGTCCCAAGGTCCTGGGCCATCCTCTACTGCTATCCCAGGCCACAAGCAGGGAGCTGGGTGGGAAGCAGGGCTGCCAAGACACAAACTGGCACCAATATTGGATCCCAGCATGTGCAAGATGAGGACTTTAGCTACTAGGCTACTGAAACAGGCCTATAAAAGTTACTTATTTCTAAGAAAGAATGTATGAGTCAGGTTCAAGGATCCAGACCAGGAGACTTGGCATGCACTGTACCCCATGCCCCAGGGGCTCACCTGAGCAGCATCCACCATGCAGGCGGGCCCCAAGAGATGAGCCATGTGATTTGAGCCCCACTGGACCCCCTGCCTTTGAGACCTAAGACCCAGCACCCAGTGTACAAGCAGATTCAAGGACCTAGAACACATGACCTGGCCTCCACCTGACCCTGCACACATTTTGCAAGAAGGCCCAAAGACCTGGGCTATGCAACCCTGACATCACCAGAACCCTGCCCCTGGAGCTCACAGACCTGGCACTCACCATGCAGGTGGGTGCAACGTGATCCAAATCTCACTGGATCTTCCCTCCCCAGGACTCATGAACCCAGCATTTCCCTGCATGTGGGCTCAAAGAAGGACTGGCTAGACTATCTGGACCTCACTAACCCCCTGTCCCCAAGGCTCAAGGACCCAGCACCCACTGTGCATGCAGGCTCTAGGACCTCGATCAGGTTACTTGAACACCACTGGGCCAGGTACCCACCACGCAGGTTAGCCCAAGGACCCCTACCATGTGATGCTGGTCGTGCCAAAACCCCAGTCTCCTATGGGCTCACAGACCCAGCATCCAACATAACAGACGAGCCCAAGAACCCAGGCCAGTTGACCCAGGTCCTGTCAGCCCACTGCTCCCAAGCCTCATAGTCACTGCCTTTCCACCCCAGACAGGCATGACTTGCCTTGCCTCGGCATCAACCAGTGGGACATTCCAGCCTGCCTGCAGTTCCAGCTCCTGTTGGTTGGTGCTGCAGCATAGTTGGTTGCAGAATGCCCCGGCTCCTGCTGCAAGTCGGAGGAGCTGCCAGTGGAGTTCTAGTGGGCCTGGTGCTGTAGCCTAGTGGCTAAACGCTTGGATATACCTGAATCACACATGGGTATTAATTAATGCCCCAGATGCTCCACTTCCCATCCAGATCCCTCCTTGTGGGCTGGGAAAGGAGTAGAGAATGGCCCAAAGCCTTGGGAACGTGCACCTGCGTGAGAGACCAGAAAGAAGCTCCTGGCTTCAGATCAGTGTAGCTCCAGCCATTGCAGCCACTTGGAGAGTGAATCAGCAGGGATCAAGACCTTTGTGTTTCTCTCTTCTCTGCAAATCCTTTTTCAATACTTTGGATTGTGTGAATAAGTCAATTTGTAATGCAGTTTTTCTTACTTAGTATGTTATCCATTACTGACTGGTAAAAGTGCTTCAGATTTTAGCATGAACCAGTTTTCAAGTATTTAAAAATTTAATTTTATTGGAAATCCAGATATAAAAAGAAGAGGAAAGACACAGAGGAAGATCTTCTATTCATTAGTTCACTTCCTAAGTGGCCTCAACGGTAGGAGCTGAACCCATCCAAAGGCAGGATACAGGAGTTTCTTCTGATTCTCCCATGCAGGTACAGGGTCCTGAAGCTTTAGGCCATCCTCTACTGCTTTCTGAGGCCACAGGCAGGAAGCTTGATTGGACAGGAACTGGCTGGATGGTGCACACACCAGCTGTGGTATGGGATCCTGGCGCATGTAAGTCGAGGACTTTAGCCATACCAGTCCTATTTTCAAGTGTTTAAAAATATATAAACCATTTTACTACTACTAATAAAATCCTTATTATGACTAAATCAAACTAGAATATCCAAATACCTGAAAAAACAGGTTATAGAAATGCCTTTGTGAAGTTCTATTTAATTGAACTTGAAAATTAATTCCTTATTCCTCACAAGATATATCCCCAAATCAACCTAAAATGTGTAGTTTTAGATACAGTAATTTCTTTTTAATCACTTTTATTAATACAATATTTATTTGAAAGGTATATTTCAGAGAGGAGAGAGATATTCCATCGGATGGTTGCGGGCTATGCAATGCTTAGTCCAGCAACAGGAATCATTTAGGTATGCCAATAACCCATTTAGTATCCCACCCACTGTGTTCCAGGCACAATAGCAGGATACTGTGTTGATAGTGTTGAATACCCAGTAGACTTAAACAAGGCAATTGGGTATCAGATGTGATCTATCCCAAGCAGCAGCCCAACAACCTGCATCATGACATCAATCCTCTGAGTCTGATGGTTTTCTCTGGCTGTTGCTATAATATAAGTATTTAATGAGGTAAAATAAAAATATATTTCAAACTATGTTGCTGTCATATTTATAGATGTCCTATAGGCTAAGGCAAATAAAATGGCAAAGTCAAGTGTCATTGAAGGTTTAAGAGCTGGGAAATGTCATTGAAGTCTTAGGAAGTTTCAATGGGAGCAGTTACTAGAAAGCTGTATAGAATAATTATGTGTTACATCATTTTTTCCTGTATAAGTGCAGATACAATTACTCTAATTGAAAAATGTCTGTCTTCAACAGTTTTTAGTATTAACAGCAATTAATGTTCTCATGGAAGTCCTTGTATGGAGTCCTATGCAGTTCATCTGTACAAATGGACAAATGCTTAATACCCCCAATCATTTTTGAGTAGCATCAATTTTAGTGACAATATGTTTTTTTTTTTTTATGGTATGTTGTAGTTTGAACAGTAGTTGTTGAAAAAAATAACTTAGTGCTTGGCAGTAATATATTTTTTATTTTTAAGTAAGTATAAAATGTTTGCTTTAACCTAGTAATAGCTTGAGTTTAATCACTACCAGTTATTGAACTTGTTTATGCTGTTTCTAGGAAGCCTCCATGGCACTTGTCATCTGTAATACACTATTCATGCCCAGGAAAGTTGATTGTCTTTGTTTCTCTAGCCGTTGTGTCTGGTTCCTGTCTTGACATTACTTACACAATAGGGAGTAATAAGGAAACTTGGGAAAGCAAAACCAATCCGTAACTCCTTCTCCACCTTTTCTTCCAGGTTTATCCCTGAACCCACTATATGCTTCCACGTCTAGAGAACAGAAACACACTTTCAGTAAGTTATATGTTTATGTCTCTGTGTTACATTGTGTTGTAGGAGCTTTATGATGGTTTTCTTAAACTGAAACAAAGAAATAACCATTGGAGAAAGAAGGTAAGATTGTCATAACTAGACATTGGAGCAGTTAAATCTGATTCAAACTTTTCCTCCAAGTTTTCTGATAATATAACTAAGATATATTTATTACATGATTCAAATTTAAAGTAAGAATTTGTTAATTATTGTGGGATATCAAGTTTGAAATGGTATTTATTGATCTTACAGACAATATAATGAAAATCCTTCAGTACCAACCTGAAAACAAGCACTCAACATTTGGGAGTAGTAAGAGTTTCCAAATATAAAAATAGTTACCAAGCTTTCAATTTTGCTTTTTTGGAATTGCTGAAATAGTATGGTGCCTAGTAGCATTTGGAGGTTTTTATTTATTTTAAAAACTGATTTAAGACATGTCTGCTATCTGCTGATTGATTTCCCGAATGTCCACAGTGGTCAGGGCTGGACTGTGTCAAAGAGAAGAACCAGGATGTCCAACTGTGTCTCTAGATGAATCTAGTGCTTGAGCCATCTTCTGCTGTTTCCACTGCACATTAGCTTAAAGCTAGACTGGAAATGGGGAAGGTGGTAGCTTAACCTGATATGCCACAATGCCATTTCCTTTTACAAGGTGTTTTCCTTTTTCTTTCTTTCTCTCTCTCTTTCTTTCTTTCTCTCTTTCTTTCTTTCTTTCTTTCTTTCTTTCTTTCTTTCTTTCTTTCTTTCTTTCTTTCCTTCCTTCCTTCCTTCCTTCCTTCCTTCCTTCCTTCCTTCCTTCTTTCTGTCTTTCAGATTTATTAGTTGAAAAGCAGAGCTACTAAGAAAGAGAGAGAGGTGGAGAGAGATCTCCCATCTGCTGGCAATGTCCAGAGAAGAGCAAGTCTTAAATCATGGGCCAGGGTTTTTGTCCAGGTCTGCAACTTGGTTACAGGAACCCAAGTGTTTGAGCCATCCTCCACTTCCTTTCTAGGCCTGCTATCAGGGAGTTGGGTCAGAAGTGGAGCGTCCAGGATATGAACCAATGCCCATGTAGTATGTCAGTTTCTTTGCTAAAGCAAAGGCCTGGCTCCTGCTTCATATGCTTTGGTTTTTATTTAAAACACAGATTTATGGAGATAAGATGAAAGAGAGTAAGTGAGCTAGAGATCTCAGTAGGTAGTTCTTAAAAAGTTGCCATTAGGGAAATGTAAATCAAAATCACAATGAAATATCACCCCAACCCTGACCAAATGATTATTATTACTTAGAAGAAAGGATAACAAATGCTGGTGAATATGTGGAAAATGAGAACTTTTATACAATGTTGATGGGGTGACAAATTAATTTAATCACTGTATAAAATTTTGAAATTATTATCCTGTATGCCCTGAAAGTATGAACACATTGTATAAAAGAGATATCTGTAGCCATCTTGTTTACTGTAGCAGTGCTCATAATACACAATATATGGAATGATCTGAGGTGTCCATCATTAGATGAAGGGATAAGGAAAATGTGCATATGTACAATAGACTATTATTCAGCTATGAAAACAAAATTTTGTGGATTGCATGAAAATGAGTGTAACTAGAGGGTAAGGGGTTAAATAAAATATGCTAGTTACAGTTATATAAATATCCCATATTCTATTATATAGAGTACCTTGGACAATCAAGCAACAAAAACAAAAGGAAGAAACACCTGTGTTTATCAGTATTGGTGCAAATGCAGTCTTCTCAAACAAATGATGAAGCATAATATTAAAATAAATAAGTGAATAAATAAATAAATAAATAAATAAAGAGCTAGAAAACAAAAGTGATAATTGGTTAATTTTAAGGGGCTTCCAAAGCACAGAAGCATATTGATTTATAACAGCTTGGCATTTGCCTTATATGTATATTTTCTGTACAATTGGCAGCCTATGACTGGCTGAGACTTAGCTACTTGTTACAAGAAGGTAGTTCGGAATAAGGTTGTAATTTGTTTCCCTACTAAGTTTGAAGTTCACTGTATTTAAAATTTTAGCTTAATTTAAATATTTTTTTCATAAAATGTAAAACAAATAGAAAGCAGAAAGGATTTTAATATATACATACTCCAAAGTAAAAAGAAAAAAATCACATATGTATTTAAATCCAGAGTAAGCTGTAGGAACTATTCACCCATTTGTGCAAATTTAATTTAAAATTTTTTTCCAATATTTTATTTTTCAAGTTAAAATAAGAAAATATCCCATCCAGCAGGACAGTCAACTGGATTGCAGCCAGCCTAGGAGAGAATGGGGGACAAGAGACACAAGAAACAGACAGCAACACAGTATGTCTGATCAAGCTGACCAAATTTTATTTTTCACACACAAGCCTTTATACTCTGCAAAACAGGATCTATAGGTGAGGAGAAAGAGAAAGTAGGGTCTGGTGTATGCTTTCACAGCTCTTTCTGGATAGCTATCTCTAAAAGCCCCTTATGCTTACAAGAGGTAGGCATGGTTTCACAACTCTTTTCTGGGTAGTATTTCCCAAACTCCTTTATGCTCACAGGAGGATGCTGACAGGTAGGGCATAAGCCAAAATCCTGTCATGAGCACCAAGGATGGTCAGAGCAGGGTAGGTTGCTAAATGACTCGTAAACCGCATGGTGTCTTAAGACCTGGTTTCTCTTGCACTTTGCTAGCTGGGACTTTCCACTGACCTAGATCTATATTCAAAATGGCTTCATATGACTATATAATATATAGCTCCCAAGAAAACTGGAAAATTGAATTTTATTAATGTCACTTTATAAGATTTTTTAAGTATCAGCTTGTTTGAGAAAAATATCATGAATTATTCAAAAATGTTATTATCCTATCCAGTATTAAACATGTGTCTTTCTTATCTCATCTAGTATGTTATTTAGCTCAATGTTCATATTTACAGATTACACAGTGAACTCACTTTATAATTATTAGAGAAAATAATCGTACAGAATAATAAAGGAATTCCATTGTAACTTCAGAATTTCAAATACAATGTAGGACAAGATATTTTGTGTTTATGTTGTCATATACACTGTAATTTAATCTGTGTCTTTAGAAGATGCAAAGAATAGCAATCCTGAGCTGAAGTTTTAGTCATATCCCTCAGAAGACTGAATGTGATACATCCATGGATACAGATTCTGTTCTTAATATGTGGTTTTCAACAGAGAATGGACTCATTTCCTAAGCCTCTGCCTTAAGTAAATGATCCAGAAAACTTTTCTCTGCTTCATAGATGAGAAATCAGTAGAGAAGCCTCCAGTATACCATTGTGATAAGAAGGAATTCTACAGAAAGAAAATAAGAGGGAACATGCCAGTTTGAAAAAACTTAGCTTACTATTGCAGACACTGAATTTATGTTTATGCTCAATGTTAAAATGCTCATTTATTTTAATTGAATTGAAAAGCAGAGTGGCAATAACTGGGACAAACTATTTTAATCAAATTCAGAGTCATTAGAGGAAAGAATCTGCTACAGAATAATAAGGAATAGTCTATTGTAGTTTTAGAATTGCAAAATTAATGCAGAATGAGTATTTTCATTTTGCTTTTACCCTATAATGCCATATAGATTATAAATTAAGCTGCATCAATAGAAGTTGCAAATTAAACATACGTAGAAGAATGTACTGTCAGTCTTTCTATTGAGTGATCCAGAACTGAGGAGACATGTGTGTTCCAGGTGTTGGTGTCATTTGAAGATGTGGCTGTGGACATTACCCAGGAGGAATGGCAGAAGATGAACAATACTCAGAGGACCCTATACAGGGATGTGATGCTTGAGACATATAACAATCTGCTGTCTGTGGGTGAGTGAAATTCTGTCATGCCCAAGCAGAAAATTTTCTTTACACTTGACCAATTAAGAATTTATAAAGTTTAGTACCTAGTAGGACTAGTATTTGAGGCTTTAAAGAATCTTAATAATGGAGAATCAAGATGATGGAACAGGGTAAGGACACACTTACATGACCGGAGAAACAATCAGGATGAAGTAGAGAGGACATATTTCTGGAAATAGGAAAGGACAGAACAACAGCAGAGGGGTACCTGGAGACTGACACAGGAAAGCAGCGGGCACAGCACTGTGGTGTTGCAGTGACTGATAACTCCAGCACAGCAATCTGAACTCTACCAGCAGCTGGAACTCCACCAGCAACCAGGTGGGAAGGGACTTTCACTGGGAGCTTGGAAGATGAATCCAGACAAAGAACTGTCCATCCTGCTGATCCGTTTGATTTACCAGGAGCAGAGACAGAGCAGCAAATCTCAGAGGGGCAGAGCGAGAACAGAGTGGATTTCATAGCCCAGTCAGCCCCAAAAGCTGAATTGGGTGCCAGTTTGCGTAAGGAGGAAAGGGCAAGGGAAAGGATGGAGCATGCTCTGAGCTAGGAGTGAGCTCATTTCTGACTCCGCGAACTGCAACGATGTGGCATTCTACAGGTTACACCCAGGGCAAGTCTGAGTAGCCCTCGGATCTGACGGCCAGCAGATCAAGAACTGTAGTGGTGGTATGAGAGGTGCCATTTTGTGCACTGTGGCAATAGCTTTGGAACTGCAGGGGACAACAGTGAACTACACATGTGCTGAGCTTGCAAGAACTTGCTGAGGTCCTGCAGAAAAATAATACCGACTGTGACATCGTACCTGTCAAAATAGATCTGTGTGGCTCCCAGAGCTAACATCCAGCAGGTTCCAACAAGATCAGCACCACCAACAAACTAACTAGATAGTACACCTAGTGTTTCTCTAATCCTGGGACTTGCTCCAACCAGAAGTGGGAGAAAGTTTGCAGAGAGAACAGTGCAGCCTCAGCACAGTATCACAGGAGGTGGAGAGTGGTGAGCCCAGGAGCTGGGGCTGTGGAGACCACAGTGGAAATCTGACATAAGAACCCAGACCTGGAACTCCCTGGAGGTTGTGGCACAATTTTGCGAGCAAAATGTTGCGTACCAACTGCAATAAGTAAAATCACATTGTAGACCTCTGGGTGACACAGCTTAGAAACCTGCCCCAAGAAGAAGACTCTGCTAACCAGAAGTACAATGATCAAAAGCAAGAGACAAAGGCACAATGAATATTACTGAAAACTCCCCTGCAAAGGAGCAAAACTCTATGCCAACCTCAGAGTTAACTGAGGAAGACATTGAGAAAATGGGGGACACAGAATCCATAAGACTCATTTTAAAGATTCTGATCAAAAATGAGAAGCTCATGCAAGAGTTCAAAGAATTTAAGAAAGCAATAAAGCAAATCAAGGCTGATATATCAGAAATTAAGAACACAGTAGAGCAAATTAAATATACAGTGGAGAGTCTCCAAAATATAATGAAGCAGCAGAAGAAAGAATCTCAGAATTGGCAGATATCTCCTGTCACCAGGGGGAAGCAAACAAAAAGCTGTAAGCAGAGCTGGATCAGGCCAAAAAATAGTATTCAAGATTTGAAAGACACTTGAAGAGGCCAAATATAAGACTTATGGGAGTCCCAGAAGGTGCAGAAAGAAGCTGAGTTTGCAAATGCACTTAATGAAATAAAAAAGGAAAATTTCCCTAATCTGGAGAAAGACTTGGGAAACAAGATCCAGGAGGAGCACAGAACTCCCAAAAGGCTTGATCAAAAGCTATCTTTACCAGGACATATGATCATCAAGCTTTCTTCAATTGAACATAAGGAAAAGATTCTTAAATGTGCATGTGAAAAAAAACATCAATTAACATATAAAGGAATGCCAATTAAGCTCACAGGAGATCTCTCACAGGAAACTCTACAGGCCAGAAGAGAATGGAGTGACATATTCCAGATTCTGAAAGAAAAAGAGTGTCTGTCTCAGATAACATACCCTGCAAAGCTTTCTTTCATCTTTGAAAATGAAATCAAATTCTTCCAGAGTAAAGAAAAGCTAAAAGAAGTTGCCTCTTCAAACCTGCCCTACAAATGATAGTTCAAGATGTTCTTTTGACAGGGAGAGGAGTAGCACCTACCAAAACCAAAGGCAAATGGGAAGAAAATCCAGCAAAATGACAACAGAAGGCTAAAGCAATGAAAAACCCATTCCTAAATTGACAGGACCAGAGTACTAACCATGTATATTTAACTCTGAATGTAAATGGCTTAAGCTCAATCAAACATCACAGATTAGTAGACTGGATTCAAGAACAAAACCCATTTGTTTATTGTCGGGAGGAGACACACTTCAACAAAGATCAGCAGAAACTGTATCATATGGGCTTTTTTGTTTTTGGTTAGTTTCATCTCTTCAAAACACTTTCTTCTGATTAAATCATTCAGTGACTCGTAGCATCATTTTCTTCAAGAAGGTTCTTAATTTTCATTTCTTCAGCTACATGTTAGTCATTTAATAGCATGTTGTTTAACTTCTTGGTGTTTTTAATTTTTTTTGTCTCCCTGATGTTGATTTTTTTTTTTTTTTGGCGCTCTTCATTTAAGGGGATGTATGGCAGCTGTGTACTGGAGACTGTCATATCTAGTAATATGTGATTTAACTTCATGGCATTGTAAATTTCTATTTTTCTTTCTATTGTTGATTTTGTGTTATGACTTTTCATTTGTGGGGATGTACAGTAGCTATGAAATGGAGACTAACATCCAGATGTGAGGATGCAGTGTGATATGCATTTCTGTTTACAGACAAAGATGGACTTATAATGAAACTGTTTACTATATCTTGACAATAGGATTCTGGACTCTCTACCATTGTCCATGTCTGCAATGATGGACATATGACTAAGTATGAAGAACTATGTGTTAGTAATGACATAAAGGAACTAGTTGGGGGGTGGAGGGACTTGGCGAGGGGGTAAGAGAATATGGAATTGTATCATAAAATGATAGCAATAATAATAAAATGCAAAAAAAACAAAACAAAAAGAATCTTAATATTTACTCTTCAGATAATGATTCATATTAGCCATTTTGTGACAGATTCTAGATCCAATCTTTTCTTTTTTAAGCTCCATCCAAGAGAGTGTTTTCACAAAATGTCTATTATTTCCAATTAGCAGGGTACCACATAACAAAACCTGATGTGATCTTCAAATTGGAACAAGAATCAGTACCATGGACTGTGGAAAAATCTATACACCAGCAGGTTCCAGGTAGGGCAATACATACTGGGAAGGGAAGTTGATACATATCTCAGTAAATATTCACTGGAATTCATGCTGATTTTTAAAAAAAATGTTTCTTCCAAAATCAGCTTATGTCATGTATGAGACAAAGGCACTCTACAGTCTCCATGCATAGTTCTATTCTAACAATGTCTTCAAATGCTAAAATTTATCAACCTGAAACAAAAAACGTAGAAATAAATATTGATCTTTTACATGGTCCCAGCAAGACAAGAAAAACTGGAACTGTTATGTGATGTAATACATCCTAAGCATTGGTTTGAATGTCTGTACCATATTTTCTGTTCTACCCTCATCAACTTAAAATACAAAACCCCAAGTAATTGAAAATGGAAAAAGAAACCCTATTTATTAATGCATTAACTTAAAAAGTGTAAGAATCATAAATGTGCGCACTTCTTGAATATTAAAATCTGTTATATCTAGAATGGCAAGAAACATCATTATCTTACTTGAGCATTTGAAAAGAAATACTTAGATGTGATTCATGGATATGGTTACTCTTTTTCCTCATTTCAGATCCTTACAGAAAGAATGAGCTGCTTGGAACTAATCCAGAAAATCAAGAAACCACTTTCAGGCAAGTTGCAATCAAAAATTTTATAGCTTCAAAAAGAGTTACATTGCCAAAGATGATTAATTTAAGCTCTGGCCATAATTGAAACATGCTATGAAAAGGAAATTGTATAAAAGAGAATCTAGAAATATAACTTCTTCTTTTTATTTTTTAATTTGCAGAGAAGTTAAATTTGTAAAGGTATCAGGTGAATGTAGAAAGCAGACAGAATGGAAAAGGACCAGATTGGAATGAGCAGGAAATGGGGTACCTGTTGAGTGGAAAGAAGGAGGATCACCAACATTTTTCAGAAGAGTCTTGGGTTTTTAAGTGTTCCATGACTCTTGTCTGAGCAGGAACCTGTGGGAAGACATTTCCCATTGGTTGTCTCTCAATCAATAGCTCCTACTGTGTAGTTTCGAATGTCCCCCTCCCTTTGTATGGCTGTTCAGATCTCTGATGTTGGAAGCCACATGGATGATAGAATTGAGACAGAAGAAAAAACAAAGGAACTGGTCTTTTCTTACTTCATCTCAGGAGTGTAGAGGTGGTTATCAAAGGTCCACATGAGTCATTTCAAATGATCAAAACCAGGCAGAATACTTGTGGGGGTGCCATGAGTCAGCCCTCCATCAAGGATAAACCAACATGAAACATAAGAGGAGTTTGGCACTTGGGTACCATGCCAGGTGGTCCGCATTCAGAATCCACTTAGGGAGTTTCCATTAAGGCAGAAAAGTAGCCTTTGACAGGGACTGTCAGTCCTCCACCAGGTTTTTTTCAAACATGCACCCAGATGCTTATTCCCAAAGGGGAAATTGAGATGATAGAAATAGAGCAATTCATCCCCCTTGAAAAAACAACCTATTTGGAGTTTCAACCAGAGCTAGGTGGTGGACAGTGGATAGGATGGAGGGACCCATATTTATTCAGAGCCAAGTGTTATCGAGTCATTTTCAAAGTTCAATCACACTTGATGGAAAGCATACCAACATGGTAAATTGTTCTGCCTGCTGAGTCAAGCCACATGACTGGTATAAGAAGCCTTTTTCATGACTTGTTTCGGGCACCAGAGAAAACGTTACCAGGAAATCTCAGTGGCTCTTTCCTCAGCTTAGTATGGGAACAGAAACTGGAACTCAGTTGCTTACAGAAGGTTTCCTTCTGAAGTGACCAGGTGAACTTAGAAAGAAGAGGGGAGGAGGAAAGTGTGTCCCAGGAAAGATCTCAAAGATGGGGGTACCATTTGGAAAGAGAGGAAAGGACACCATAATTTGTTTCAAAATGTGTTTTTTTTCCTAGGGAGCCTGACGAAATGTCACTTGGGAAAAAGCAAGCCTCTAATGTTCCTGAGAACCAACTCCAATGTGGGGAAAATATCAGTGAGCATGACAAGATATACACTTGTAAAAAGTCTTTTGAACACAATAGGAAAGAAAATACTTTCAGCAGGAAGATATTCTTTAAGTGTCAGAAAACTCATATCAAAGACCCATGTAATTGCCCTGTGATTGTAGGAGAAACAATTCAGTTTGACAAGAAAATGTTCCATAGCAATCCTTATGTTGGCAAGCATCAACAAACACACTCAGAGAAGAAACTCCATGAACCTTTCAAGAATGAGAATTGTCCTATTTATAAAAGAGATGTTAAAATAAATCACATAATACAAACAGCAAAAAGTCACTATATATGTGGCTACTGCAAACAGTCTTTTACCTGTAATTCTAGGTTTACCACCAAACAGAGAAGTGATATAGGAGAAAATTTCCATGTGTGCAATGAATGTAAGAAAAACATTTACCAGAAGTCAGAATTCACTAGAAATAAGATACTTCCCAATAAAGAGAAACCATATGAATGTAATGACCTTGTAAAATCCTTTAGTGCTCAATCAAGTCTCCTTACACATCAGAGAATTCACACAAGGAGAAAACCTTATAAGTGTAGTGAGTGTGGAAAAGCCTTTTGCACGCCATCACTTCTCCTTACACATCAAAGAACTCACACAGGGGAGAAACCTTACAATTGTAATGAATGTGGGAAAGCTTATTGTCAGAAGTCATCCCTAATCATGCATCAGAGAATCCACACAGGTGAAAAACCTTATAAGTGTAGTGAGTGTGGACAAGCTTTTTGTCAGAAGTCACACCTAATCATGCATGAGAGAATCCACACAGGAGAGAAACCTTATAAATGTGAGTGTGGAAAAGCCTTTTGCAAGCCATCAGTTCTCATTAAACATCAGAGAACTCACACAGGGGAAAAACCTTACAAATGTAGTGAGTGTGAAAAAACTTTTTTTCAGAAGTCATCCCTAATCATACATCAGAGAATCCATACAGGAGAAAAACCTTATAAGTGTATTGAGTGTGCAAAAGCTTTTTGTCGAAAGTCACACCTAATCATTCATCAGAGAATCCACACAGGGGAAAAACCTTATAAGTGTAATGAGTGTGGAAAAGCATTTTGCCAGCATTCTGGTCTCATTGTGCATCAGAGAATTCACACAGGGGAAAAACCTTATAAATGTGGTGAGTGTGCAAAAGCTTTTGGTCAAAAGGCATCCCTAATTGCACATCAGAGAATCCACACAGGGGAAAAAGCTTATGAATGTATTGAGTGTGGGAAAGCATTTTGCCAACAGTCAAGTCTCATTGTACATAAGAGAATTCACAAAAGGGAAAAACCTCATAAATGTAGTGAGTGTGGAAAAGGCTTTTACCAGCATTCAGATTTCATTAAGCATCAGAGAATCCACACAGGGGAAAAGCCTTATGAATGTATTGAGTGTGGGAAAGCTTTTTATCACAAGTCACGCCTACGCACACATCTGAGAATTCACACAGGGGAAAAACCTTATAAGTGTAGTGAGTGTGGAAAAGCTTTTTGCCAGCAGTCCGGTCTCATTGTACATCAAAGAATTCACACAGGGGAAAAACCTCATAAATGTAGTGAGTGTGCAAAAGCTTTTGGTCAAAAGGCATCCCTAATTGCACATCAGAGAATCCACACAGGGGAAAAGCCTTATGAATGTATTGAGTGTGGGAAAGCATTTTGCCATAAAAAAGACCTAAACAATCATCACAGAGTTCACACAAGGGAAAAACTTTTTCAGTATGATGAGTATGGAAAATCTTTTTGCTAGGAGACAATTATTGCATAATCTAAGTCACATGACTGAAGAAGTGTTTAAAAACTCATAGAAAAAAAACAATGATTGCAATAGAAAGCAAAAACTGACATGGGTTTGCAGTTGAGTAACATATCCATAGGAAGGAGTAAGAACTATCCTATTGACTATAAAAATCATTGTTCTGAAGTCAATCCTCTGCAGATCCTACGAAGTTCAGAAAAACAACAATATGTAAACAGAAAAAGTAGCTACAATAAATCTATCACAGTCAAATCTTATAAAGTCCCAAACAAGCATTAGTAAGATTACAGATAGAACACATTATAAAATTGCAGTAAGATGTGCAAAATAATAAACATGAGGTGTGTCACATTTCAGAACAAGGCTATGTTTTGCTAAAATATTTGAGATGGAATCTGCTTGATCTCATTTTGTTGTAAATAAGTTCTGCTTTCATTTTTTAATTTTGAAAATAAATATTCTGCGTATAACACTTGTTTTGAATTTCATATAGCATTTATGCAGTTATCTAGTATAGCTTTTTTTACAGTGTTAATTTGCCAATATTCTATTACAGAGCAATATGGAACTCACAAGTGTCAACTGATGCATGTGGCAATTGTAGTGCTAATCACCCTATTTTGCAGGACTGGTGTTTTGTTCAGAACGAGGAGTGATTCATTTGTGACATCTGGCAAATTGGATCACTTTTGGCCCTTGTCTAATCATTGTATACTTTTAGAGGTATATGCAAGTGTCATAAGGATTGTTTGGCATCTGGTTTGGGGATGTGGTAATTGCCACTGGGTTTTAAGTATCAGCTGCCATAACTACTGCTCACGTTCTCACTGATTTCATGCACAATGGCTTCCCAAAGCAAGTTTCTTGCCAATGGATGCCAACCTGTGCCTAAAGTCTTTCAACTATGAGGATGAACATCAGATGCAGCCCTATGGCAAAGTAGGGTAAGTTTCTGGTTACCCTACTGTGGTAACCTGGGGCACCACTGGTTCATGTCCTAGCTGATTCACTTCTGATCTAGCTCCTGTCTTCTGGCTTCACACCAGCCCAACTACTGTTGTAATCATTTGGGATTTGAATAATTGAAATAAAGATGCCTCTCTGCTTTTGTCTTTATTATAATTCCATGTTCAAATGAATTTAAAATGTTATTTTAAGTGTGGGCATCATGACTTATGTTGAGGTAAATCAAATATTTAGTATTAAGCACATTGGCATGGTCCCATCTGTAACAGCCTTGACTATTTTTATTGCTTACTGTTTTGAGGCATGACCCTATCAGGTTCCAAAATGCTGAACATTGAGTACAAGAGAGGCATCTTTTTCTGTAGAATGTATCATGTAACATATTATCAATGCCTTAAGGTGGATAATGAGATTTGTGTACTTCTGAGTGATTTCTACCAGCCTTCTTATATAAGTCCCTAGCTGTGATCCCTCTGATATTGATACTGACCAGATACTGGCCAAGGTCTTCCCTCGGGACACACTTCAGAAACTACTGTGCAGTGAAATTTATTTAAAGTTTTGCAGTTCCCAATCGCTCTGACAGCATTCTAATGTCCTTTGATTTTTTTCATTGCTTCCTAGGAAGTGGAATAGAATATATGAAGGGATTTGTGAAGGTTGAGATAAAATAGTATTTATATATTCAGGTTATAGATCCTGCTTTAGTAACCATTGGTTGGAACAAGTTCCAAAAGTAATGGATCTACTTTCTGTATCTTTCCACACCCTGTTTATGAGCAACAGAGACTTAACCTAAATCTCCCTATTTTGTCTTTTTTTCATGTACAATTGCTGTTGTTATCTAATTTTTTCAAACTGTTTCTATGTCTTAAAAGATTATTACTTTTGTACTTGAGTGTAACAACATTTAAGAAGGTATTAAGTAAGGTAAAAGCTATTTTTTTTTTTCAATTTGGAAAGTCAGATATAAAGAGAGAAGGAGAAACAGAGAGAAAGTCTTCCATCTGCTGCTTCACTCCCCACGTGGCCACAGCATCTGGCCAGGGCTGAGCAATGCAAAACCTGGAGCCAGGAGCTTCTTTTGGGTCTCTTGTGAGGGTGCAGGGTACCAAAGCCTTGGACCATCCGTGGCTGCTTTTCCTGGACACAAGCAGGGAGCTGGTAGGCAGTGGACCAGAAAGGATATAAATTGGAACCCAAAGACGAGGACTTTAGCCACTTGACTACTGTACTGGGCTCATAAGATAAAAAGATTTCCCTGTTTTTTCATTTAATTCCTCCAAACACCAATAATTTTTAAAATAATTACAGATAAAACTCAATATTTTTATCTTTTCATCTTAATTTAGATATGTTGGGTTATTTTTAATGTTTTATTTGAAAGACAAATTAACAGTAGGGGCAGAGAGATCCTCCATTCATCAGTTTACTCTCCAGATGGCTGCCATGGCCATAGCTGATTCAGTGGGAAACAAGTAGACCCCTCCAGCTTTCCCATGTATGTACAGTGGCCTAAAAATTACAGCCATCTCTTTCTTACCCAGGTGATAAGTAGGGAGTTAAACATGAAATGTAGCAGCTTGGATTCCAATTGTCATAAGATGCTGGACTGCAGGCAGAGGATTAGCCTGCTAGACCATCACTGACACTCCTTGTTTTTTTAAATGTAAAATGAAAAATCCAAAAAGAGTGGAGAGAGAACTGTAAATCATGCCACATGCTTGAGAATGCCATAAGTATTGAAGACTGAGGTATGAGAGCTGTATTCTGTCTAAATAGTAATTGGTAGTCATTTGATAAAGGAGATACAGTATAGGGTAAATAAAATAGAATCAGTATAGAACAAACAACTGAAAGAATATTGGAGTGTTTTTTCAAGGTTTATGCAAGATGAATCCTACATGGAATTAGATTTACCAAAATTAGAAAAAGAACATTATTGATATTATCTAAAAATCGATTATAACCAACAAAGGCACACACCAATGAAGCTAGAATTTGCATACCATAAAGTTAAACACGTTTTTATGTTAATCATTTATAAAAAGTTTTGATTGCTTTCAGAATCTTTTTTTAAGTTCTTTAAATACCTTTCCTAACACATTTTCATTTGTTTTGTGTTGAATTTAATTATACCTGTTCAACATTTAATCAATTCTTACCTAGTTTTTTTTACCTCTGTTTTCTTCTAATATATTTAAATTCTCCCAAGTAAGAGAAGGTGTCATGTGATAGATATTTTATACAATGATTTTCTTAGGTTTTTCAACTGTTTTATTAAACAATGAATTTGTACATCTTTGGTTATGTTTCAAGTATTCTTTTCTATGTTGCGTTACATTTGCTTAGGGAAAGCTGAGCTCTAAAAGAGTTGTAAAATCATCCAATTATTTTACCTTAAATCTGTGATTAAACTGATCCATAGCGTAAGCAAAAATGAAATAAATTGTTATGCATGTTTTGTTGAAAAGCAGCCCAAATGAGGTAACATAGTCATGCTTATGCCAGAAACTATTTTTAAGGTCAGTAAGTAAATATGTACTAAATGTATGCTGCTCACTCCTATAAGCACTCAGACATATAACTCAAAGAATGCTTTAGAACTTCACTAATTTTTTTCTGCAAGTTTAGTTAAAAATTGATGAAAGCAGAGAAATAACATTCAAGGTTTGAGTAGGCAGAGAGGAAAATGCATAAGAAAGCTGTCTTTACTTTTATCTTGCATCCACAGTGACAGAGTGACCCTCTCCATTGCCTTGCTTCTCATGAGCCTGGAAGGGCAGTGGTTACATGACACCACTCTCCAATCCCAGATGAGTTTGAGTACTGGAGACCCACTCCAACTGACTTGAGAGCTTGTAAAGGATGCATGGATCAGTGAGACAATAAAAAGAGATGAGATGTGGACCACTATGGCATGATGCTCATTATGGACAACTCAGAAAATTTGCCTTCTTTGTTTATACACAAATCATCACAAGATTTTGCACAACATCCCATTGTTTTATTTTAACTTTATTATAAAAGAATGATTATAAAATCAATCCTAAAAACCTTATCATTGTTTTACTTCAGAGAAAATAATTTGAGCAAGTTAGTACTCATTCAAACCCTCACTGACCTGGGTGAAGCCAGGAACTCCACGGTGGGAGCACATGCAGTTATATAGTGACAAGTGGTTTACTTATATTTAAAATCAATTTTCACTAAACACAAACTAACCAATATTGCTTAAAATATCAAGAGTACAGAGTTAAAACATCATAAATGAAAGATTTATAAAAGCATATAACATATATTCTTTTTTATTGTTGTTGTTAAGCTGCTTCCTGCCTTTTTTCTTTTCCTTTTTTTTATTGTTTCCTTCATATATCTGATGTAAATAGATTTTTTTTTGTAAAGTTGTTATGTCAATTATTTTTTTATTTATATATGTATTTTTTATTGTTATTAACATTGTATTATGTGATACAGTTTTATAGGCACTAGGGAATCCCCCCACCCCTCCTATACCCCTCCCCCCATGGTGGATTCCTCCAGCTTGCTGCATAACCACAGTTCAAGTTCAGTTGAAATTCCTTCATTGCAAGCATATACCTAGCATAAAGTCCAGCGTCTTATTGTCCAGATAAGTTCAGTGGCCTCTTGGGGAGACCTTCTCTGGTCTGAAGATAGGGCTAACAGAGTAAAGATCTGGTCAGTTAAAAGCCCCAACAAAACCTCAGTATCAATATACAACATTATGGAATTAATTGACATAGTATTGGCTAAACAATATGTTAAAAATAATGCAAGTTCCATTCTTCGAAACATCTGGGTTGAGACAGTATCAATGACAGGTTCAAAAAATAACAAGCAACCAAACAAAAATTACAAGTTAAATCAAGGCAAACATGTGGTATCTAACCTTTTGGGATTCGCTCATTTCCCTTAGCATTATAGCTTCCACTTGGGCCCATTTAGCCACAAAGAACTGCATTTTGTTTTTTTTAATACCTGAGTAGTATTCCATGGAGTAGATGAACCAAAGCTTTCTTATCCAATCTTCTGCTGATGGGCATTTTGGTTGCTTCCATGTTTTTGCAATTACTGATTGTGCTGCTATGAACATAGGGATGCATGTTGGTTTGTCGTAAAACAGGTGTTTTGGATATATTCCTAGGAGTGCTATTGCTGGGTCATATGGTATGCAGATTTTGAGTTGTTTGAGTGTTCTCCAGACTGATTTCCATAAAGGCTGTACCAACCTACAGCTCCACCAGCAGTGGAGTAGGGTTCCCTTTTCCCCGCATCATCGCCAACAAGCGTCATTGGTGTTCTTGTTTATGTGGGCCAATCTTACTGGTGTTAGGTGGTACCTCATCGATGTTTTAATTTGGATTTCCCTTATTGCCAGGGAACTGGAGCATTTTTTCATATGTTTGTTTGCCATTTGGACTTGTTCCTTTGTGAAATGTTTGCCCATTTCCCGTGCCCATTTCTTGAGTGGTTTGTTTGTTTTGGTTTTTTGGTTGTTTTGAAGTTCTTTGTATATCCTGCAGATTACCCCCCTATCAACTATATAGTGTGCAAAGATCTCCCACTCTGTGGGTTGCTTTGTTACTTTGTTGATTGTTTCCCTTGCTGTACAGAAGCTTCTTAGTTTGATGAGGTCCCATTTGTTTATTCTGTTCTCAAATGCTATTGCTTTTGGTGTCCTTCTTAGAAAGTCAGGACCTACTCCTAGGTCTTGCAGGGTATTTCCTACATTTTCTTGCAAGAGTTTGAAGGTTTCTGGATGTAGGTTTAGGTCTTTTATCCATGTAGATTGGATCTTAGTGTATGGTGATAGATGTGGGTCTATCTTTTTGTTTCTACAGGCTATCAGCCAGTTGTCCCAACAACATTTACTAAAGAG